TTTTTTTTTTTTTTTTGAGGTTTTGGCTTGGTGGGTTGTCTTTGGTTTTGGTTCTTTGTGAGGAACGATGCATGTTTGGTGGGTTTTTTTTATAAGGGATTTGTGTTTTTGGCTTATGATTTGGAGGGGTTGTGAATGGATTGTTTCTCTTTCTCACATTAATCTGAGGGTTCTTTTGGTTTGTCATTGTTGAGGCTGCAATTGATCGCGGATTGAGTTTTGTTCCTCATGCTTTGATTCCTTGAATCATTGCTCTCGTTCTGTCTCTCCCTGTTCTTGTTCTTATTCTTAAGTTTTAGTTTGGATGTTTGTTAATGTGATGTCTTTCTCTGTGTTCTAGTGTTGTATATGTATATGTATATGTATATGTATATGTATATGTATAGGTATATGTTTTGTTTCTCTGAATCGTGTTTTGTGAATGGCTGTGGATTTATCCTGTTTAAGACATTCTTCTGAAGGTACTGTTTTTTGGTTCTTTTCAGGAGTGTTGAAATAACCTGCTATTGTTCTTGTGATTTGGTTTTTAAGGCCTATTGTTGTGTAGTCTTATACCAATTGAGGGAAAAAAATCGGTTATGGAAGAGTTCGGGACTTCGGGGATTTATGGAAACTCTACCATGAGGAGGAAAAGGAGTCGAACTTCTCGTAGACCTCGACTCGAGTCACAGCAATTTACCGAAGGTCTTGATCCTTCACCTTCATCGTCAACACCGCCTTCTGATGATGCAGTCAAGTTATCTAGTGATGAGAATGGTGGAGGTGATGGTGCTTCTAGGAGAAAAGAATTAAGTCTCAATCAATGTGTATCTAGAGGCTCATCTGCTAGCGGGGCCGAAAACGAACATTTTCTTAAAAGAAGCAAAAAGGATGGAAGTTATAATTCATATTACCGTAGCGAACCTGGACGGAATGCTAGTGATAATAAACGCAGCAGTGAAGGTGTCCTTGCCCCTGCTAATTGGAGAAGCACGAGCAAGGGATCAGATGGTATTGAATCGGAGTCGAGCAGCATTGATCCATATGGTGGAAGGTATGGTGGTGAAAGTTCAAGTTCTGGACAGAAAGGACTTTACGTCGAAGGAGTAGGAAACGATAATAAGGTCAAGAAGGTTAAGCTTAAGGTTGGCGGGGTGACTCGCACTATTCAAGCCACTTCCCCTCCCAACGGCTCGTCTAAAGGAAGTTCTTCAAAGAGCTCTCAACCTTCAGATATTCATAGGCAGCAACACAAGAACAATGTTCTGGTACGAGACACTGTTTCGCTAGTCGATGCACCGATATTATCCTTGCTCTTTGCACTTTGTCTGCGTCGATTTTGTTCTCTTTTCATGTTCGTAGGAGGTTTATGTGATTAAGTTTAAGTAATCGAGTTATAAAGTAGTATTGATCGTGGGGTTGATGACTAAATTCTTGGTAACGCTTGGAAACGTTTTTTTATCCGGACGTTTATGTTAGTGCTATTGTGTAGGTTATAACCAAATAAGTTCTCTGTTCGAACTGGAACACTTGAAACTGATATAGTATTCTCTCTAATGTGTTAGGAAACCTTTAATGGAAATCATTCCCCTTCGGAAAGAAGAGGCGGATTGCACGGAGTTCCATGGAGGGACTTCTCTAGAGGTGGTTTTGGTCTTGAAAAGGAGGAGTCTTTGACAGGGAAGACGTCGGGGAGGAATTCTTCTGGGAAGCATGGAGCAGAGTCGCTTCGGAAGAGTAAAAGAGCCTCGAAGAAGCGTGTTCTTGATGGAGATTTCGATGATGATGATGATGATGAGATACGGTATTTGGAGAAGCTCAAGACTTCGAGAGCTTCCGTGGGATACCATGATGATGGTGAAGGACCGAGCAAGAAGCAGCGGAAACTCTCTAGCATTTCTAGCATGGAGAATTATGGTGCATTGAAGCATGACAAAGATGGGAAGAAGGCTAGAACAGAAATGGGGTCTGATGACAAAGATTACGAGGAAGAAGAAGAATCAGCATCTGATGGCGTCGTTGAAGCGAACCATAAGAAGCAGAGGAAGGAATCCATCGACACGTTGATGGATGGTAAGCGAGAAATGACTCTCACCACTCGTCAAAGAGCTCTTCAATCTAGCAAAGATGCATCATCGACTCGAGGTGCTACTTTGATCGAGTTCCCAAATGGATTACCGCCCGCTCCACCCAGAAGTAAGCGACTTCTATATGGACCTTTCCACATTAATATCAGCTTTTCATTTACTTCAGTTGTAACCTAATTATTTTCGTTTTGTTTGTTCATAGAGCAAAAAGAGAAGCTTACCGACGTGGAACAGCAACTTAAGAAGGTGGAAGCTGCGCAAAGACGGAGAATGCAAGTCGAGAAGGCTGCTAGGGAATCCGAGGTTTGTTCTCTTCACCATAACGTTTGCATTATGAATCATTCATATCCATTCGACATTGTTCCTGATGGATCTAAGCCTGTTAGGCGGAGGCAATTAGAAAGATACTCGGTCAAGATTCAAGCCGAAAGAAGCGGGAAGATAAAAAGAAGAAACGCCAGGAAGAATTAGCTCAGGTACTGTGTAGGGTCGATCCGATCTAATAAGTTCTTAATTGTGCTGGTGTTTTATATAGTACAAGAACATCAGCTTGATTCTATTCCCTCAATTTCCACAGGAGAAGGCTGCAAATGCTCAGAAGCTATTATCAAACACCATCAGATGGGTCATGGGTCCTTCTGGTACGGTGGTGACGTTTCCGAACGATATGGGTCTTCCGAGCATATTTGATTCTCGACCGTGCAGGTATCACTCATCTTCTTCACGCCCTACTTATCCCCAAAGCATGCTTTTCGTTTGACTGAAAATCCCTATACAATGTTCGTTTTCAGCTATCCTCCTCGGCGGGAAAACTGTGCAGGGCCATCGTGTTCGAATCCATACAAGTATCGGGATTCAAAGTCGAAGCTACCTCTATGCAGTCTTGTGTGTTACAAAGCAGTTCAAGAGCAGTTGACAGAAAGTAGGTGCTAGATTGTTATAGCATCAATCTGTAGGTTTTAGGTCTGTTTGCATTTTGTTCATTGATTGATTCTCTGCACATTTAAACGAAGTTAGATAGATATATATAATTGCAGAGACGTTGATGGAAGAAATGTTTTTGAATGTGTTCTTAAGTGCCCCATACCCATTTTTAAGTACATACAAAGTTTGGCTCTCAATTAAAACAAATAATAGAATTAATGACGTTGTTTAATTGATGATTAATTAGCTTCATGCTTTAAGCTTAGATTTTACTTTCCTAATTTAGTATAGACATAATAAATAGTGTTTCGTAATGGAATATTCGTCACAGCGGACTTACGATTGTGCGACACTCACTTTCCAACGACAAGTGAGCTAAGCCAGAGACGTATAAGTAAGAGAGTAACAACAATGGCTTGCAATATATAACCTTGGGTAGGAAGAAGTTGACAAGAGTTAGTGGCATTACTCTTACTGAAATTTTGAACGAAAAACGTTTTTACTTTTTCAAGATCAATACTAAGACGATGTAATAGGAAAACTTAGATCATCAAACTCCCATTTTCTTGGAGTCTGAAGATTCGATCTTCATCAGTCATAAGGCATCTCATCTCACTAAACCATCTTAGCTCAAATAACCTCAATAATCTGAAAGTGAGATAATATAGTTTTCATGTAATGGGCATCGATCACAACAAACTCCAATAATGAATATACGAAAATTTTGTTATATCAAATTGATATCCATTCGCCAATCTGATGTACTAACGCCTACCACCAAAGAGAAGTGAAAAGAATCTCCATGATGAAGTCTGATGGCCACTCAAAAATCCAATCACCTGCCGTATAACATTTCAAAGTTTATAAAACAAGTGACACTACCAAATCACGTCCCCAAATAAAGCATATTACACAAAGATGAAGGAATTTGAAAAGCTCCTCTCCTAGCCCAGCCACCAAAGGCTAACACTGCAGTAACGTGGCCGAACGAATACTTGAATGAAAATTCCGAGTCATGTCTCATCAGGAAAATTATCCCTACGAACTGATATGGAGGTTAGGAGAAGAGGAAAACACTCACTTGAAAGGTAGGAGCCCAATATGCCAAAGGCACTCCGATGTGCAAGGCAGCCTTTCATATTTTCATTCTCAGGGCAATGTTGTTTATTTTAATTGTAGATTTGGGTCGAAAATGCTCATCGGTGTCCACCTCTTCAATCTCCTGAGAAATAAAAATGCTTGACGAACATCAATATAATGTGATGATGGTCAACAGATGATCTTGCAGAAATGGCTAGCTAATCAAGGACAACCAACTAAAATGAAACAGGAAACCACTTAATTTGGAATCGCGTGATGGATAATTCATAGGTCTGTTAGAAGATCTCATGTAAAGAACGTTCTAGCAGAAGGGTTCAGTTAGGTCTGAAATTTGAAATTGAAATTTCTCTGTCAATAAACTCAATAAGAAGTGGAAACGTCAGAAGTACTCACAACAAACAACAGAAAGCAAAGTTATCACCTGTACAACGTGTTCTCCCTGGATTACTCGCCCAAAGACGATCAGCTTCTCACTAAGATCTGGAATTGGTGCAGTTGTAATGAAAATCTCAAATCCTTTGTTCTTAGATTTCCCCCTTGGAGTCCCAACTAAAAAGGCATCATGTTTCAAACTGATTGACCATAAAAAATGCTAACTATCAGATAATTTGAAATTGAAAAACTGTACAATAGCAACCATCAACAATGAATTAAAAGACAACAACCTTGCATCAGGTTGACTGTGATGTTTTCCTCCCAGAATCCAATCTTCTGCAACCCCAAGATCTTGGTTGTTGCCCGCTTGAATTGAATAATGTTTCACCACATGTTGAAACAGCATTTCATTGAAATGATGCTTTTGACTGAAAAACCAATATTTCAAAGGCGAATGTTTAATGCCAAGGGACATGGTAATATAATTAGAAAAAAGAAAAAGAAAAGATGGGAGATTATCAAAATTATAGTTTTGAGTGAACATTATGTCATGCAAGAGTAAAATGAAAAATACAACCCCTTTTGGAACTTCGAGTCTGGAAGGGGGTGTTAAATTGGCAACATTCAATTTGACATGTCATCCTCCAATTACTATTAAGAAAATGAAATGCAGACCCTCCACAGTATAGACAATGGAATATTACGTATTTATAATGCTCACCATAAATCAATAAATTCATCAACAACTTCAGGGGCACTTTCTTTGTAAAGCTCCACAACAATTGAGCCCTTTGAAGTACTGAAAGCCTATTAACAGCGAGAAAACATGAGAATTATTATCATTCACGAGTTCATACAGCAATAGAAGGGATTTTTTTTTTCTTTTTTTAGATAAAAACTAAACATTCATAAGGCAGACAGGGACAGGAATGGGAAAACCTACAGCATATCCAGGTAGATCTGTTTTTTTCGCATCGAACACAGCATTTTCAGTCTGCAAAGTATGAGAAGACTTAGAAAGGGGAGATAAATCATGAAATAGTGCCATGCTCTTCAAGTGTGATGAAAACCTTATGTTATGAAGATAAACTTGCACTAAGATGTGCAAATATATCAACAATTATCAGTTAGAACGTTAGAAATGAAGAAGAGAAATGAATATGCTAACAGAATAATGTAGGAATCATCAAAGTCATTCTAAAATAAGAATCAAAATTGACCTATGTACCTCAGAACCTGAATAAACATTCTCTGATTGTAAATTGGACCTGAATTGGATACGGGAGAAAAGTTAAGTCAGTAAAAGATATCTCTCGCAGCCTCATTCCACATTAACATACCAAAAAATGTTGATCTGTATTCAAGTCTCAACCAACATTAAACATTCTAATCAATAAAGTAAAAGTATTGAAACTCTCATAAATTTAATGAGAATACGAACTCCAGGAACATAACAACGCTGTTACTAACCTATGAGACCAATGCCTATATGTGGTATGCAGGAAAAACACAAACAAAGCGATAATCAAGCTGCATGTGACAATTGTGGTAAGACTAATCCGCGAAGGCCCTTTCTTCTTTTTGCTTTGTTGAAGCAAAGTTTGTGGCTTGATCCTTGCCATTGATTCGAAACTTCAGTTTCGACCTAGAGACAGTTCCACTGCAGGAATTCATAAAGAAGAATATAAGGCCCTGGTACTTCATAGTTGATACAAGTCCTTCCAGTTCCAAATTTACAGAATCAGTAATATTGTTCCATTTAACAAAATTCAACCGATCCCGAAGTTGGAAATGCATGCAGCGCCATCAACGAGCATATGAAGGTAGGTGGCAGTTGTTTTTTTAACATACAGGATTGTTCAGAACCAAGAAACACACTATTCACGAGTATATGAAAAAAGTAAATCAAGAAACTCATGCAATTATTACTATATATATATATATAATAAATTATAAAAAAAAACACATCTCTCATCTAAACACCAGCAATTCTGAAGTATCTACCAATAATAAACTGAAATCTACAAACAACTTCTGAATTACGATCGAACAATCAAACCATAGAAGTAAATGATTCATGACCTCTCAAGATGCTAACACAATCAATAGATCAAGTTAAATCGTCCAGTTATCAAAACTAAAGCCCAAACAACGAGATTTTCCCGCCAAACCAGATGTCGAATTAGGCAACAAACTGTGGGGATGACTTCAATGAAGCCTTACGGATTCGAGCGTGAAGAATTGCAAAAAGTACCTGAGATTTCTTACAGGTCGCGAATTTCTCTGCAGAGACAATAAATCTGGCGGTTGGAAAGTCTTTTCTGAATTCGGTGGCCCTCCTGTTCGAAATAGAAGGAATCTCGAGTTCAAGGTTTTCGTTTGAATTTTTTTATTTTTTATTTTTTTCCTCGTTTCCGTTTCCAGGTAGAAAACAGTTCATCTCCATACGGGCAAGTGTAATGGGCCGGACTTCATCTACGGAAGGCTCCGGCCCAATTATAAGACTGATTTTAATTCTTTTTTTTTTTTCTGAAAAATCAAGTTTTTATATATAATATATAATTCTACGCTGATCTAAATTTTGTTCATTAAATTAAAAAAAAAAATCGATTTTATGTCTTAATCTTTGATCTTTTATTTTTATTTTTTTTTGGTCTAATAATTTTTTTTTAATTAGATACCTATTAAATATGAATTTGAATTTTATATCTAATAAAATTTTTAATTTTTAATTCTATGCTTATTAGAGAAGTAAATTTTGAAAATTTTGAATTTATAATTTAAGTTATATTTTTAATATTCCATGTAAATTTCTCAAATTTATTTAAAATTGTATAAATTTTTACTCAATTGCATATTAATCTAACCTTATCAAATATAATCGGTTATCAAATATAATCGGTATCGTTATAGGAATCCTCTCTAATTTAGAGAAATTATAATAGATTGCAAACCTTATTGTCATATTTATTCATTTGTTAAGGAAAAGTAATTAACATTACTAATATCATCATATTGTAACAGCTCAAGTTTATTGCGGACGGATATTGTTCTTTTTTTTGACTTTCTCTTTCAAGATTGTCCAAGCTCATTGCTAGCTTATATGGGTTTTCCCTCAAAGTTTTTAAAACGAGAGGTTTTCACATACTTATAAATAATGCCTCTCCAATCGATGTGGGATCTCACGATCTATCTCCTTTCAGAGCCCAATGTCCTCACTGGTACACCTGGTGTCCACCTCCATTTGGGTAAAGACCCAGTGTCCTCACTGACACACCTTCTAGTGTCCACCTCCCTTTAGGGTTCAGCCCAATGTCTAACACTGATACCATTTGTAATAGTTTAAGTTCATATGAGATCTCACGATCTATCTCCTTTCGGGACCCAGTGTCCTCACTGGTACACCTTATGGTGTTCACCTCCCTTTGGATATAGACCTAGTGTCCTCACTGACACACCTTCTAGTGTCCACCTCCCTTTGAGATTCAGCTTGATGCCTAGCACTAATACCATTTGTAACAATTTAAGCTCACCGCTAAAAAATATTGTCTTCTTTGAGCCAGCCCAACTCTAGCCAATATGATCTTCTTTCAGCTCTCTTCTAACTTCCCTTGAAAATTTTAAATTCTAACTTTCCCTTTAAAACTTTTATCAAATTTAGTAAAATAATTATAAAAAAAAAATTATTCAAGAAAATTTTGAAAATGAGATGCAAAATTGAAAATTTAAAAGTAGAAATATTATTTTTTTTCCCCATTATTTCCAATTTCTAACATGTCTACCCCATAAGTTTCATGTAATTCCATTATTTTTTTTATTTTATTTTTATTTTTTAATAATAAACCATATAGTTTACACGAACAAATCCATACACTGTGTTTCTTTCGCTATCTAATCCAACTCAACTCAAAATGGACATCTTTATAATAAACTAAGAATGGAAACCTTGTAGTAAAAAAATTGTTAGCCCATAAGGAACTACAAAAACTGAAAAGCTTTGGAAGTACATATAATCTGTGAAGTACACAAAATGTTGATCAATCGTACAATCCAAAAGCACTTACTCTAAAGATTGTTGTTGTCCATGGAAGTAAGGCCCACGTTCTGAGGTCTAAGAACTCTGTACTCGACAGCCACATTCTGAGGAGGTCTAAAGAGTCTGTACACAACAACAACAGAGAGGCACAAAGAGATTACTGAGATCAAGAGAGCAAAAATGCTTGCAGAGCTTCCTGAGCCAACCCCTGATAATGAGGTTAATTTTGAAGTACTGGAAGTGATATCCATGGGTGTCCAATCACAGTGAATGGAGTAGTGTCCTGATGCATGCCATGGCTGCCCGTCGACTGGATACCAAAATGCAGCTGACATTTTGCTTGTTCCACCAATGACGAATTGAGCATCCTGCAGTTTTCAGGTGACAACAAATCGATATAATCCAGACAATTGCAAAAATCTGAAAAGGTTTCCAAAATAGCTACAAATTTATAATGAAAGAACCAAAATTCTCGTAATTCCTATGATGTATTGGAGCTTATATGTGGGATCCCACATCGATTGGAGAGAGGAACGAGTGTCCGCGCTGGTTGAGCCCTAAAGGGGTGGATTGTAAGATCCCACATCGATTGGGGAGGGGAACGAATGCCAACGCTAGGCCCTGAAAGGGGTGGATTGTGAGAACGATCCCACATCGATTGGAGAGGGGAACGAGTGCCAGCGCTGACCCTGAAAGGAGGAGATCGTGAGATCCCACATTGATTGGAGAGGGGAGCAAGTGGCAGCGCTGGAACCCTTAGCAGACGCGTTTTAAAAACCTTGAGAGGAAGTCCGAAAGGGAAAGCCCAAAGAGGATAATATCTACTAGCGGTGGGTTTAAGCCGTTACATTATCTATGATGTAATTGGAGCTTTATCGCTTTGGTTTTGTGGATTATGCAGGTATCATTTGGAAACAAGTAGAATGAATCTCACTAAACAGGTGTGTGTGGTAGGGCAAGCCAATCTTTGTTTCACAACCATTTTGTTTCGAGTTTTCTCATTTTTGTTACGAAAAGTTAAGCTCATAAAAACTACTCCGTTCCAGATTTTTCGCTTCTTGTTTTCAGTGATCAAATTTTGGTGGCTTTTAAAAATGTTTTTGACACGGGACTACGGTACAAAGAAGTATAGTCCGTAATAAATTTCGTTGTTTGTAAAGTCGTGAGAACTATAAACTAGTTGGGCATCTTTAAGCCATTTCTTTTAGTATCTAACATGAATTGTCTAAATATATGTGCATCAGAAGGCTTTCTAACCTGTTGAAGGCGATCTGAGGTTCTTAAAGCCCTAGAGAATTCAAAATAATAAGTGCCCGTCGAGTTTTCTGATGAATATGGACTGTCTGCCGCCACAAAACCTGCAAAAACCTCTCTCAGTTTGATATTGAAAATAAAATAAAATAAATCTCTATGGAGCTGACATGAATACCATGATCAAACAAAACTCATGCACAATAATAAAGATTGTTGATAATAACGGCAACGTTATATACTGTACTTCCCACATCAGGTTTGTCAAGAAAAAAGACTTAAAAAAAGGATAAGACAAGCATCATCAATGGAATAGCAGGATTATAAGCCCATGGCTGAAATGCAAACAAGAAAGGGTGGCCTTTCGTAACATCCCAAACCCACCGCTAGCAGATATTGTCCGCTTTGGCCCATTACAAAGACGTTGGGCCCCCAAAATGGGTGGATTGTGAGATCCCACATCAGTTTGAGAGGAGAACGAACATTCCTTACAAGGGTGTGGAAACCTCTCCCTAATAGTGAAACTGACGACGATACGTAACGGGCCAAAGCGGATAATATGTGCTAACATACGGACTTTAACATCCTTTACCCTCAGTCACACTTTTACATTTCACAGGGTAATATTAATCAGAGCTACAAAATAAGTATCCAACTTCTTTGATTAAGCGTATATTATTAATCCCACAATGAAGCTATTCAATTACCTGAATGATGGGTAAAGCTGCTGTGCCACCATGTGCCTTTCCAGTCGTTCTTGGCACTCGAATCATTTGCTGAAATTGGAAGATGGTCATCTCTTATAAGTTGTATGATCATGTGGAACATCAAACAGATGGCTTCCAGAAACATAGTTAAAATAAGAGAAAATGCAAGAATTTAACATTAACATGAAATTTGGTAGAATAGCTTTAGTGGTGAAACAGTAAAGGTTAAATATGCTGCTGAGCAATGTGAAACAAAATTGATAACCGTGTTAGTTTATGATAGAATTCGAAATATATTGCAATGTAAAAGATAATAGAACTACACGATAACCCAAGTATTCGAGGTACTTAGAACATCCCCTTTCTTGAGCACTCTCACTCGAGCCCTAAACCAAACCAATTGAATACCTTCTTCTTTGCCCACCCCCTCTATTTATAACCACATAACATAATATACTCCCTAACTATATTCGACAGTTGCATTTACAGTAAAACAGCGCCATCATTTTCTCTTTCGGTTCCAATTAGAGAATTACACGGGTCAAATGGTTACGTTCAAATAAAAGAATAGTTTCGCAGTTCAAATAGAAAATAATTAACAAAAGAAAAGTAGGTAAAACATCTTCATTGGTACAAAATTGTCTTGAATAGAGGCAAAGAGGCAAAAGGTATTTCCATTGAAATATACATTCAAATACACTAAAACCCGACGAGTTTCATCTTTCTAAGGCTATAAAGCAATATAGCAAAGGAACTTTTAGTATTATACTCAAAAAGGCTAGAAAATACATATCAGAGATAAGGATGTCACAATCAAGCTGGCTCAAAGTGGGGTTGACAGAAAGTTCTACTTTAAAAGCATAAGTCTAAGGCACATAGAATCCTACAGATTGTTAAACAATTAAGTGGTAGATACGTAGTAACTGCGAATAAATAGCATCTGCTACGAACAGGAGAAGTAGAGTTCAACTTCAATGACTGAGATTGTGAACAAAAAAAAAAAAAAAAAAAAAAAAAAAAAAAAAAAAAAAAAAAAAAAAAAAAAAAA